AGGCTTCTTCAGTTCTAAGAGTCTGGTGCAGAGTCACAGACTTTAAACTCTGTGTGGGTGTTGTTGAGGTCACATGTGAGTCGTTGACCCACCCGGCCATCATGTGTGTCGTTAGGTTAGATGGATCCAGGTGTATCTAGAATCTTAAGCAATTCCAGTTGTTTAAAGCGCTCAAGATTACCTGGATGACTGAGAATCGTCACCAACAAGTATGTGTAGTATGCTACACTGGTGACATACCATAAAACTTCAAGTAGAAGCCTAGTCCCAGTTAAACACCTAGTGCCTTTTACTAGCCCGGTGTGGCTACACATTTTGACAAATAAGGGCCTGTCCCAATTTGATGCCTGGTCTGGATGCCAAGCAGTTTATTTTGTTTTCATAGACGTTCTTCAGATATATATAAAACCAAGTTGTTGGCTACCTCAAATTGTGTGTCCATTCCTCAATTACTCTGCAAGTTATTCATATTCCTTTAGTCTGTAAGGGTCAGAGGGCAGGATAAATACAGTAAAATTCATTCATGAACCATTTGACCTAGATAAGAGCCTGTAAAAATCCAGGATCCATCATCTCCATGGTCATATTCATAAAGAGCTGAAGCTGCCCTTTCCGCTGATAATATGTCCATAAAGTTTTTTAACCAGTTATCTTTATTAAAAAAATTGATTTGTGTTATTACCAATTCATCATAATGATACGTTTATCTGATATAAAAGCTACAGCAACAATGCACTGTGTAAGCTTTGACTGTATATTTTCTATCCTTGTGCCTAAGAGGCAGACTGGTGGACAACAAGGTATTTTCACAGCCAGGGTAGAAGACAAACTTAATATCACCTTGTCCCAAAAATGTCTCACTGGGGGGCAATGCCACAACAGATGAATATGTGATCCTGCTCACCACAGCCATGCCAACGTAAATGTGAAAAGGAGTGACCAAGTTATATTCATATTGGTTTGAATAAACAATTTGATTGTATTTCCAGATCTTTGGTGGTTTTGTGTGAAAGGAATCAAAGGCCTGTCCCATATAGACGCCTGTTGATTTCAGTGATTTATGCAAATAATAGCCTGGACTATTAATTGAAGTTTTATGGTATGTGACGTGTCGTACATTACTTATAACATGTGACATACATCACGTAATGTTAGTGACAAAAGTACTGACATAAAGCCAAACCATGATGTTTTTTTGTTGCCTAAATCTAACCAGGTTTCGTTGAATGCCGAAACAATGTGCATGCTAACACCCCATAGAACTGAGAGTGACCACAAAACTGGGTCTGGACACACTGTTGGGTTCATCGATACACCTTTCATATTACACACAGTCATTTGATCTATCAGTCATATTAAGTAATTAATTAGTCAACATTAAGAAGAGTTTCTTTTTGACCGATTGTTTTGGTACTTTGGAGGCCTGTTTTAGTCAGCTACTATATTTGTAATATATTACATATTTCCCAATAAACTTTACTCAAATTATATTACTAAGACTTATTTTTCTTCAAATTTGAAAAGATTAACACACGTATTTAACAGATTGTAAAGTGCAATAGTCAAGACAAGTTTTTTGCTGCCTCAGGCTGCATGCTTGATTATGTTTCAAAAATCTCTACTTTTGGCAGTCAGTATGATGGAACGAGCCGCTCCATGAATCATTTATGGCTCTCCACAGGGGACAGTTGTCACATTTAATATGTGGGTGAATAAAAATGTGAATAGGGTGAAACACACATACAGAAAAAAAGGAACTCCTAAATACCGTGGGCAGTCACTGTCTGTCAGTTTAATGTCACAGGTAGTGGATTTTATGGACTTTCAAGGGTACTGCGGACCTGGGCTCCCATAAATTTGTTAAACTCTCGGATGGGTCAGTGTTATTAAGATGAACAAGAAATCTGTTTGTTTCATGTTAGGCAAAGTACTCCCTAAGAAATAGATCAGCATGTTCGGTTTTGGTGTCTGTTGTTCAGCTGTCTGTCATTTTCTGCTCAGACACCACACAGTTTCAGCTGAATGCCAAGTTGTTCCTCCGTTTTCTGTAACGTTGCCTTCCATTTTCATGACATTGTATACAGGAGACTCAGGTTTATATGAGTTGAAATGAAGCGATCAGTCAGTGGTAACTAACCTTTTCAGGGCAGAGGCAGACTCAAGTCTTGAGAGACAAATTCTTCAACGCAATTACTAGTTGCTTGGAAATGTTAAAGTCATCATTATGCCTTTGCGCCGTCCATAGCCTTGACCAGAGGCATTATGTTTTTGAGTTTTCCATTTGTCCATCCATCCCAATCTGGTGACCGCGATATCTCAAAAACATCTTTAGGAAATTTCTTCAAAGTTGACAGTGGCATGTCATTCTTGTTAACATGATATCTCAAGAAGGCCTTGAGGAAGTCTCCTCAAATTTGGCACAAATGTCCACTTGGACTCAAGAATGAACTGATTAGAACTTGGTGGTCGAAAAACCAAAGGTCACTGTGATCTCATAAAACATGTTTTTGGCAGGAACTCAAGAATTTATCCACTAATTATGACAGAAGCTCATACAAATGTCTAATAGGATAAAATGATGAAGTGATGACATTTTATAAACCCGAAAGGCTAAAGGTCAACTTCACTGTGACATCATAATGTTCTGCAAAAACAATTTTCTGCCCATTATTCAATGTCATAATACTCAGGAACAGAAGAGGAGACTTTGGGTCAGGTACTGAATTGACGCAGACTGGCCAATCATAACGTAGCATGGGGCCGGCTCAGACCAGGGTCCGACAACAACACAGCCGTGCTCCATTGACTCTAATGCGGTCGTTTCAGATTTCCTTCATTTTCAGGCTGGTTTTGTGAATTTGGAGCTAAATGTTGTGCCTGGGGCACGTTGTGTATTAATGATACTCGTTACCTGGAGAGGTTGGAAAAAGATATACATTTCCTCCCTGTTCCAAAACCACAATCAAACCCTGAAAAGTGTAGGGTTAGCTAGCTAGCTACTGAAGATATAGCCTACTGAATGTATACACATGCTGCTTTTGCTTTTTGATGATTATGACAGTGAAACAAAGACCGACCCTGCAGTACAGGAACCAGTGAAGGGAAGCAGGGAAACTTTGCTCATATTCAACCAGCTGTGTGTCATCGCAGTGTGCGCAGATGAACGTTGCTGGCAGCGGCACAAGGTCGAAGCCAAACACCGTTCATCTGCACACACTGTGATGCCACACAGCTGGTTCAATATCAGCAAAGTTTCCCTTTATATTCATTGTCTTGTGTGGCGATCAGCAGTGATGTGGTGGTTCACTTTTACACTGTGATCTGTAGCCTATAGTTCGGCTTTAGCTTCTAACTGTCTTTGTCTTTTTAACCTGTTGTTGCTGCTGAGTCAGTTTGACATCCTGGATATATCCTTCAAACACAGACTGTAGACCCCTCTGTCTGCTTCTCTCTGGAATCACTGTTTCATTTTTCCAACAATATGATCATATTTCTTCAGGGAGTGCAGTTAGTTACAGTGTGGGCTCCATGCTTACTCTGACAGCTTGTTGGACCATCACAAAGGGGCGGGGCTTAGCGAAAGGTCAATTGGTGACACTAATCATGGGTGCCCACCTTGAAACTGTGCTGACTGTATGGATCTTCTGTGCTGCTGGGTGGGAAAATGTGTGTGTGAAGCATCCATATTTTTACAAGCATAAGTGTATACTGTAACTGCAACTTGACTGTATCGTCAAGGCATACGCAGCAGAGCTGTGATTCTAGTTAGGAAAAATATCAGGAAATGACACACTTGAAAAATAAAGTTATTTTAAAAGTTTGTCAATAACTGACACTCAATGGAGATAAAGGCACATTTGAGCTCCCGTCTTGGTGAAACTGACCTATATTTCAGTTAAAACTTAGCATAGGTCTGTTTGCATATGCGCACTTCAAACAAAATAGTTTGTTGATGTTGATTATAAAATATACACATGATGCTAGAAGAAGCCCATGAATAATTTTGTTTACATTTAGATAATGGATTTTTCCTTTAAACCACCTCGGATTCATTGCCTGTAGTGAAATTGTGTTAGTTAACTGTTAAATCTGCACCGTCCCTCCTTTCTAGCCTCTGCAAATATACATTTTCATTTGTCACAACTAACAAAACCACATGATACAAGTTGCCTGGCTTTTACAGTCACAGTCTGCTTGAAGATAAAGGCCTTCTTTTGGTTATGTCGCCTTTGAAGACAGATGTTTCTGGGTCATAATGCATCAAAAGATGGGTTCCTCTGTCATGATGCATTGATGAGAGTTTCATTTAGCATTTGCATGCTTTATGTCAGTGGGAAAAGAAAGTGTTTGGATATATTAATTCAGTTTCCTTCATGCTGACATATTCAGACAAGACCGAATCCAGTCCACAACTTTAAAACATTCATACCCTTTTTATGTGACTGCTGTCAGTCCCTCTTTCTTCATTGTTCTTTTTTTTTGAGTTTCCCAACATCACGAAATCAGCGGCTCTTTCTGCTTGTAGCCGCAAAGAAAGAAAGAAATAGATTAGAGCTGCATTCACGAGAGCATGTTGATGATGAAAAAAGTGAGGGATGGATGAGTTTTGTTACCTGTCCTGAGGCTCGAAACAACCTCTTTTATGAACACAAACACACACACTAAAGACCAAAACCACATGTGTACACACATACTGTATGCACACACTCCCGCTCATAAACACACATTTTTGCAGCAACCCGCATCACCCAAGGCAGCTGGCAATGAGTTTCATTCTGTGTGTCCAGTAGCAGTTTTTCCATTAGACGTGATGTAATGTCCGCACTATAATGGACCCGAAGAAAGGCTGCATTAAGACACAGTGGTTTATGTACACAGGCTAGACAGGGGCAAAATGTCCATCTGCCCTATAATGGGATGCCCAACTTGATATTTTCTTTTCTCCCTTGTCTGTGTGTTGTCTTGGATCTCAACCTGTTTCTGTGTCTTTCTGTGCGCAGATTTTTATCGGAGAGGTGTCCATGTACGTGATGAAATCAACGAGGGAAGCTCTCCTGGCCCAGGAGAAAACTATTGTGACAGGAGATTGTTGTTACCTCAACCCCCTTATCCGCCGCATCATACGCTTCATAGGTAAGAACATTTTCATGCCAGGTAGGCCAAACTGCCCTGAGCTCCTTCAGGTGGATGGTACCAAGCAGTAGCTGACAACTCATACACACATCACAAATATGTGCACATATCCTGGGAATAACATGGGAAGTTTTTATCTTATGGGCGACAGTGATAACAATAATTAAATGTAGTTTAATGTTCTGGTAAAAATGGCTTTAAACAGGAGTCTGGAGGATCATTTAGCTGATATGGATCATTTCACAAACACTCGTACTCACTGTTTGGCTTGTTACATTTGTTTTTTTGTAGCTAAGTGATCACATTATTGTTCATATCTGTACGCACCCCAGTGATCACATCACCATTCATATTACAGTGACAATAATGCACTTAAACTACAGAAGCAGAGTTTATAAGGTTAATAACTCAATAAAGAATGCATCTGCAACACTTGGATTTTTTTTTTCGTGTGGCTTTCATAGTCTTTGAGGAAGCTTCTGAAAAGGAAGCAACACGCTGTATATCATGGCTAAGCTGACAGCTGAATGTGGGTGCTGTCAGTCACCTGCAAGGGGAGCTCCAATGCAGAAAGCTACCGATTCAAAAACCAACCATGATGATTCAGAGCTCGAGGATTTTGGTATTTAAGACGAGCTTGTTTATGTTCTATAAACCGTCAGTATTATGTAAGGAGGGCTTGCCAAAGCACCCATTTATCCTACAAAGGACAAAAGAGGGTGACCCTCGACTTGGAATGCAAGCAGCGTACCAACAGACAGGGTAACCAAGCAATCACCAACCTTTGAATAACACGATACATGATGGGATCAGCCGTTTTTCTGTTGTGTCAGAGACAGGTCGATGCACAGTGAAGGATGAAATGAAAGAATTTAGAAGATGAGGTTGACAAGGTCAGTCAGGGGTGGGCATGACAGTAGCTTCCTCTGCACAGACATGTAAAGCTGAGGTTGTCTGGAAATACTTTAAGTGTTTAGAGCAGCAGATTTTGATCCTCTGTTTGTTCCTTGAGAGTAAAGTACAGCACACGTCTGTAGCACACACCTGACATGCCACAAAGACACAAGAAATACAGCAGCTGTGGAACTAATATACATTTCCAGCTTATTTGAGGCGCTGATACACGAAGCTGGGAAGTAGCACAGTGGTGATGTGTGTCAAGATAATGGCAGTTTGTGTGTCCTTAAGTGTATTCAGTAGGTATTAGACTTTGCCTAAAGGGACAGTTCACCCCCAAATCAAAAATACATATTTTTCCCTTTTACCTGTAGAGTTATTTATCAATCTACATAGTTTCGGTGTGAGTTGCTGAGTGTTGGAGATATCAGTTGTAGAGATGTCTGCCTACACTTGAATATAATGGAACTAGATGGCACTCGGATTGTGGTGCTCAAAGAGTCGAAAAATGACAATTTGAAAAACTCATCAGCAATGTCTCTTTCCAGGAATGATGATGTTGACTCAAGATAATCCACAGACCTTGTTGTGAGCAGTTTCATGTAGGAACTATTCTTTTCTACCGGACTACATCCGCTAACCGTATCACTGCACAAAAGGAAGCATGCATCTAATTGTGGACGCAACATGTAAACATTAATGGAGTCCTTGTTGGCTGAGCTTGAGACTTTGAGGACCTCGCCCGATATGGGGACACCAGGGCTCCCCCTGGAGCCAGGCCTGGTTTGGCTCAACGTCTGGTGGCCGGGCCTTGGGCCATGGGGCAGTGGAGCCAAATAGATAATATGGAGCCGTCGCCCTGTGGGTCCCACCACCCGCAGGGACAGGATTCAGGGCTCTGCATTGTGTGCCGGGTGGCAGGGACCCTGGGCATGCTGATCCCTGGTGTTGCGGAGTGCAATCTAGTCCCATTATATTTGAGAGAAGACAAACTTCTTGATGGCCGATATCTAGAACACTCAACAACTGACACCAAAACAATCTAGATTGTTCAATAGGAAGAATTAGGAAAAATATGTATTTTGGATTTTGGGTGAATTGTCCCTTTAAATGATCCAAGAGCTCAACCCTCTTAAAGTGTAAATAAAATTACATTATACCCGTTACAGAGGAAAACACTAAATAAGCATGCACATGCATACTAAGAAATAATATTGAGCTGCTTTGTATTCCTCTTGAGTCTACACTTTGAAATCCATCCATCCCTCCAGCTCTTGTCTGTAACCGTTTATCCTTAGAGGGTTGCGCGTGGCTGGAGCCGATCCCAGCTGACATTGGGCGAGAGGCGGGGTACACCCTGGACAGGTCGCCAGTCAATCACACGGCTGACAACCAGACAGACACACTCACATTCACACCAGAGGACAAATTAGAGTGCTGTTAGCCTGACCTGCCTGTGCCTTTGGACTGTGGGAGTTAGTGTGGCTTAATCAGAACTGCTTATGTCATGTGTTGTGTGTGGTTGATCCTGATTGGCTGACCTCTGACCATCTGCTTTGATTTAAATCTTAGGTAGGCAAACTTGCTGGTGGAGGCTTTTCAGTTTAAATACAGCAAACTGGCCTGACTGAACTGATTTTAGTAATTCTTCAGTGAAGGGAGCCAAATGGGATCAAGTCCAGCTGTGATGCATTTACTGCAGCTTCTCTAAAACTGCATTAGCCACTGAAACAAAATTGAATTTAAACATCTTTATCAAAGACGCTGGATCGCATAGAGGCAATATGTAAAAGATTTCTTACAGTAGGGCAGCTTTGCACCACAATTACAGGTAAAGTTTGTAACCTCACATTACATACCTGTGTCACTCCTCCAAAAGACCGCACAAGACGTCCAGCTTCGACCTTTGAATATAAATCTTTATAGCCACTTCTCCACAAAGCTTGAGTAGCACTGGGCAGAGTGACAGACTCTTTGCTATCTGTTCCAGTAAATGAGGTCGTCTGCTGGACTTTCCTGGCGTAATCAGGAACTGTATTGTTCATTTTTAAATAATATCCCTCCAATTTATAAAACACTCATCAGAAATTCATTAGGCAATTCACATGATTTATGTTTCCGTCTGCTCCTGAACAATCTCTCAAATTTGTAGGGTCACCAAGGCTTAGTTTCCTGCTCTCTTGCTCGCTCCCATCTCCTCTCCTCTCACCCTAATTCCCCCATCTCTATTTCCCTCAATGATGCCCTTCACACAATCGTGTCCCTGTACCCCTCACTGGCACCCGAACATTCCCGCTCCCCCACCACCCCAGCCCTCTGCAGCCCCCCTTGGATGAGAATACAAAGCAGAGTAATTTCATGGCTAAGCAGGCCAGATAATCAGCAGTCATATTTCACAGCAAAAGGAATGCAGACGCAGACATTGGTTAGGGTTGGTGGGCTTAAAGTGTCAGTGCAATCATTCATATTAAATGCAATTTTTTTCTGCGTGTTTATGTTTCTGTCTTTGCCTGTGGTCCACTCCTCTTTCCCTCCATATTACCTTCATTTGATTCCAATACAAAATCAATACTATTTGCATTTAAATTGATAGTATAGGATAACTGTAATGTTGTTAACAGTAGATATCCTGGGGTTTAGTTCTGCCTAATGACAGCTGGGAGCTTATGGACCAGCACTGGGAGCCAGATAGTCACAGGCCAATTTAACCCCAGATATAAGGTGATTAGACCACGATCTAAGGCGGAAATGAGTGTGAAGCATTTATAACTTTGTGCCTATGTGTTAATGTTCCTTTGCTTTGGGTTTTTATGAGCTATAAATTCTCATCCGTGTATCTGCGTGTCTGTGTGCCCCAGGTGTGTTTGCATTTGGTCTGTTTGCCACAGACATCTTCGTCAACGCAGGCCAGGTGGTGACGGGAGGTCTCTCGCCCTACTTCCTGTCTGTCTGCAAGCCCAACTACACCGGCACCGAGTGCCGTTTTAATCACCAGTTTATCGTCAACGGCAACATCTGCACTGGGAACCCTGTTGTCGTGGAGAACGCTCGCAGGTCGTTCCCATCCAAGGATGCTTCGCTGAGTGTTTACTCGGCTGTTTACCTGACGGTGAGGAGAATGTACATGAGCACCAGGCACTATAATAGAGTTTAATGTGGGCATTTTACAGGATGGGAGGTTTAAACAATGGAAAAACCATCACATAACATCACATACTGTATATTTAGGTTGATTACTGTTTAACTTATTGTGTAACATGGCATGGTATCACCTGATTCGCTTTAAGACTTGAGAACAACTCCAGTGTTTTCTTACATTTGCTTGTGTATTGCGCTGACACCTATAAAGAGGCAATGGACAAATGTCTGGCAAGGCAAGGCAGCAGATACAGGCAGAGCTGATGGTGAAAAGTTAGTGATGGCCAGATGAAGCCTCATGACACATTTTCTTTATTTTCTGAGCCCACTAGATGGCGCTTTTTGTTCAACAAGAGGTTTAAAAACACACTGAATTGCCATTCTTTGAGACTCTCTCTTTAAACCAAGAGTGCCATCTAGTGGGTTCAGAAAATAAAGAAAATGCTTCATAAGGCTTCATGAGGCCATCACTAGTGAAAAGTGAGGCAGACTAATGTTGTATAATAACACTTGCTCTATCGGGCTCAGTTTTAAAGCTATAGTGAAGACACTGGTATCACATTAAACTAGAGCAGTAGTTCCAAACTGATCCAGCCACGGGGTCCAGATTTCTCCTTAGTCATTAGTTCAAGGTCCATACAGTCATACATTTAGCACCATATTTGTGTTTGGCCATGTGGTAGAGCTAGTTTGCTGTCTCTGTCAAGTGGTTGTCCATTAGTTACCCAGTCTACTGTAGGAAACAGCACTTCAAAATAAGAGCTCTTTGCCAGAAATTTACTGTACTTCAAAATAAAGTGTGCTTTCAACAAACCTGAAATGTTCACGAGTCACTTGAGGTCCATTCAGAATTGACCCGCAACCCACCAGTTGGGAGCCACTGTGCTAGAGGACCTGAGGCATCCAGTAGTACTAACCACGTCATGCTATCTTGTTGGAAAGGGGGCCAAGTCGTGCTTCAAAGTTCCGCTAAATTTTGGCGAGGGGAAAAAGGAACATTGCCTTTTTTCAAAATGGTGTATTTAAATATTTCTGCATACTGTGGTCCTTGAACAGTCTTGGAATTGCATAAATTGAGTATGACTGGGAAACTGAGAGTTGTCAATCACGATTTCAGTTCAGCACTCAACTTAACCAATATATGGTTATAGTAGCCCTTAAGATTGAATAAATTTATTTTAGGCATATTTGTTCACCTATGATTTGATTTTATGATTTAATACCTTGCAATAATTTCTTAAATCAGTGTTTTATTTGACTTCATTGGAAAGAAGCGCCGGACAAACATGTGACTACCTCTGCTTTTCAAAATGTAAGATCTTAAAACGGAGTGGATACAAAATACATGTGGAAATATGATTAATTGGATTATACTCACAGGAAGTATAAAATTTTGCATTGTGCTCCCCTTAGCTGTGTCTCAATTCAGGGGCTGCAGCATTTGAAGGATGCAGCTTTCACAGTCTTCATCGGCCACATCCTTTAAAGACCGCATCAGCCAAATAGAATGGTCTCAGAAACGGGATGGTCTGGTTGGCAGAGGATTTCCTGGTTGCATCACCAGTTGCGCTCGCCCTGATCCGTTGATGTCCCTGTTACTTAGCAACCAGCTGGGCTTGACGAAAGAGGGAGTAAGCTAATAAGTTAGTTAGCCCTAAATCATGGACCCAGAGATTGGTATTTAATATTTGAGGAGATGTTTCGTCGCAAGAGAAACGGCTGTTTGATATATTTCAGGCTGATGGAGGACCGTTTTCAGGTAAACGTATTAAATTAAGATTGTTCAAGCTGTGTGCTTTTAGCTTATAGTAATGTTAACAATGGTAAACTGTAAGCTAGTTACCAACTGTTACTTGACTTCACTTGATATATAATCATCCCAATGCCTCTTGGGATAGGCTGGGCCACGAAGGATATATCCGTTGCATCCTCCAAACTATGGGAAAGAAGGCTGCATTTCTCAGCCACATTTGAAGGAGACTTTGAAATGGGAGAGCCTTGGTCGCGCCGATGTGACGCAATTGGTCCTCAAATGTAGCCTTTGAAGGCTCCAGCCCCTGAATTGAGACACAGCTCTTCTCCCCCTGCTCATATTTCCCAGTGGCTGGCCTAACTACAGGTCAGAAGAAACATATGTATGTTTGATTCTGGGGTGAACTGTCCCTTTAAGCATGGGCATGTGGTGGTAAAGCATCAGTCACAGGAATGAAGACATTCACGAGGATCAAACTTGCCTATTGAAGGCTGGAACCATCAGACTCGTTAGTTTAACTGTGGTCAATTAAGAGCTTTTTATTGCTGAACTAAAATATAAGCCTCCAATTATGCAGTTTGTATTCTAAATTCTAAGTTTTGTCTAAGTACTTGTACTTCATAAACAAAATTAAAAGTTAAGGCAATTATACACATGAATACAGTATAAGTATACTGCAGTGTACAAACAAGTATTTCCCTGAGCATAACTTCTTTCTGAATTTAAATCAATATCATATAATAAAGTGAAGACAAAACATGTATTGAAATTCTTTACCAAATTTGCAGATTTTCTTCAATGAGCAAGGTTAATTAAAAATCAGTGTCAAGTGTACTTGTGGTTCTAGAGTTTCTCATTTGGGACTGAGTGTAATTACTTTAAATCTTGGTGTAAACAAATTTTTACATAGTAAAAAACACCCAAACAATCAGAGATGAATAGATCTCTTTAGCCGGGACTGATTAAAGTTCCACACTAAATTTGTTATTTAAAAAGGCTGTGAATAAGAAGGAATGTTTTCTGTAGCGCATCTATCTTTGATGGAGGAACCGGTGAGGAGGGACTTCATACTTCTTGGAAGTGTGTCGAGGAATGTATAATACAAGCGTAGGGTGGGTCCGGGCATTTTTAGAAAATTGGCCTGAGGAACACATGAAGAATGGCTTTTGAAGGGCTATTTGAAGGGCTGGTGTGTGATATTACAGTGACGGAGGAGCTCAGCTGCTGGAAAGTGAAAGGAGGGGGAGTAGAGGTGCAGATTTTATCAGCACAAGTGAGAAGAATACAAAGACAGGTTGTTGATGAAAAGAGGATTTGATTCGCGCAGCTCCAAGGTCTGACGTGGGAGGAGGTAAAAGTTCAAGAAGTGAGAACATATGTAGGAAGACTGATGTTTTTAAATGCTGACAGTCTTCTCAGAGGTTCCCCCTATTAGGTTAATCTTGTAATCTTCTATTCTCTGTGAAAAAAAGCTCCTTGTTTTGGAAAGGTATTTCACTCATATGATGTAAGTTTGTGACATCTTTCTTTAACCGTTTTGCTGTTCAATGGAGGCTCTGTGCTCTCATAAAATGGTAAAATATTTGATTCCATTTCTGTGGGAACACCTCCAGTTACACTGCATGGGATCGCTTCTGTGCTTGTCTGCCTAAAGAGTGGTACAGGTGAAACCTTAGATCTTTGGGACACAGTAGAGAGCATATTTTTTTGCCTTTCCGCTGGTAGCCGTGGCTGGAGGCATTATGTTTTCTGTTTGTACGTCCGTCCGTGTATCGGTCCCATTCTTGTGAACAGAAAAACTCAGAACCATCTTGAGGGAGTCTCTTCAAATTTGGCAAAAAAATCCACTTGGACGAGAACAAACTAATTACATTTTAATGGTCACAAGTCAAAGATCAAGATCATTGTGACCTTGCATCCATCTCATTCTCATGAATTCGATATCTTAAGAACACCTTTAGATTTCTTCAAACTTGGGACAAACATCCGAATGGACTCAACAATAAACGAATTAGAATTTAGTGGACAAAGGTCAAGGTCACTATGACCTCAAGTTTGTCTCATTCTTGTGAACAGAATATCTCAGGAACACCTTGAGGGAGTTTCTTCAAATTTGGCAAAGACATCCATTTGGGACACGAGGATTATATTTTAGTGGTTACAGGTCAAAATCCAAGATCACTGTGACCTTGCGTCCATGCCATTCTCGTGAACATGATATCTGAAGAACACCTGTAATGTCTTCAAACATGGGCCAAACATCCACTTAGAATCAGTACTAAACAATTAGAATTCAGTGGTCAAAGGTCAAGGTCACTGTGACCCTGCGTCCATCTCATTCTCATAAACATGATATCTCAAGAACACCTTGAGGAAATTTCTTCAAACTTGAGCTGTTTTTATTTGGTGGCCAAAGGTCAAGGCCACTGTGACCTAACTGTTGTCTTACTTTTATAGACATGACATCTCAAGGAGGCCTTTAGGGAACTGCTTCAAATGTGGCACTCTGCCACTTGAATTCAAGAATGAACTAATCAAAATTTGGTGGTAAAAGGTCAAGGTCAATATGACCTCACAAAACATGTTTTTGGCAAACACTCAAGAATTCATCTGGTAATTAAGACAAAATTTCCTAGAAATGTCTGATAGAATAAAACGATAAAGTGGTGACATTTTATATCAGTCAACGTCACAGTGACATCATAATGTTCTGCAAAAACATTTTCTGGCCATTATTCAGTGTCATAGGAATAGAAGGGTTGACATTTGGTCAGATACTGAATTGGTAATACTAATCTTAGGTGTCCATCTTAAAACTGTGGTCATTGTAAAGATCTTCTGTGCAGCTGGGTTAAAGATGTGAGTGAAGCATCCATGTTGTATATGTATACGTAGCTTCTTTGCAGCAACATCCATACCCTATTTGAAGCATTGTCAGCTGTCATGGCTTTCTTCACCGTCTGATTTAATCTGCCCTCTGTCCTCCTTTCCAGATGTACATCACCAGCACCATCAAGACCAAGTCCAGCCGCCTGGCCAAGCCTGTGCTCTGTCTGGGCACCCTCTGTTCAGCCTTCCTCACCGGCCTCAACCGAGTCTCAGAGTACCGAAACCACTGTTCGGACGTAGTGGCCGGATTTATACTGGGATCAGCTGTTGCTCTGTTTCTGGTGAGGATGATGGAAGAGTGAAAAGTTTGGGCAAGTGTGGGAGTGAGGAGTAGAGGAGGAGAGAGGATGATTATTCTGAGGTGGATTCTGGTCATGACTTATTTTCAAATTATGATAATAATTTCCAGCTTCATTTTGGAAGCGACCCAAACCGGTAATTAGATGATTATTCTAGGCTGCAGCTCTTACCAAAGCCTGTAACAGAGTTTTGGTGCCATTTTTAAAGTCAGCCTGAATGCAAATGTATGCCCTAAAATACTTATACACAGCAGATTTTATACTATTAATCTATATTGATCTTTAATGACATAAATAGCTGTTGTTTGTAAAAGCCATGAAGTATATGTTAAAGTAAGTCGTGTAATGAGGAACTAAACACTTATTTGGTAAAGGAGCTAAAAAGAGCAGTTCAAGAAGAGGTGAGGGAGAGGATGTGAAACAGGATGAAGCATGGTTTGTACTGAGCTTGGAGGAGGTTCAGATAAAGGTGAGTTAGGATAGAGGGAAAGGGGTAAGGACGCACTGGTTGATTGGGAGTACGAGGAGAAGATAAGAAAGGAAAGAAAATACTGAGGTGGCACCTGGATTTCTACTGAGATCAGCAGACGCTCCGTCTCTGAAAGAGCTCAGTGAGGAAGGGTAGTGAAAGGCAGGAGGACCAGGAGTTAGAAAGTCGAAGGAATCACCATGGTTGTTTCTAATTCTAAGATAATTGAGGGAACCAGTGAAAAGAATATGTGATCTGATAAATTCTGGTTGGGAAAAGGGATTTTTTTTTATGTGTCTCATTGAAATAAATATCATTGCAAGGTACAAATTGTTCTCACTGGATTTGAAGAAAATGAATTTCCCTGTCTTAAAGCCTTTAATGTAAAATCAAGCTGTCAGATATCCTGGCTTCCACTGAAAATCGAAATCACTTTGTCAACATCACATTTTAAGCTGAGTGTTTAAATGCAGGGTAATGATTACAGCTGAAACCGTTGACTTGTTTTTGTGGTTGAAGCGAAAATCCCCTTGAGGAGAAGGGAAGGTGAAGAGAAACCACAACAATTTAAAAGTCTTGGAGGCTTCAATTCATGTTAATTGCCGCTGGTGCTCAAGTAAGGAGTATGAGAGAGAGATGGAAGGGAGGAAAAGACATGAAGGGAAAAGTGCTGTAAATACCACCTAAACTGAGACCCAAGTCATGGCCCCAAGCCCCAGACAAGACCAAGACTTTAGGAGATGATAAAATGTTGGGCATGCAAATCAAAGGCACTCCTCAAATTAATCTGAAAGATCCACATTCCCTTTAAAACACCCACACTGTTTTGCAGATGAACTATTTGTGGTTTGACTGACATCACCTCCCAGACAGCCACACCTTTCTTGAAGTGTGTATGAGTTTGGGCAGGAAGGGGCGACAGCCATTAATAGTAGTGAAAGTTTTCCAAGGGTGGAGCATAGAAGATGTTTAGATGATGGTAGATTTTGGTCTAAATAGATGGTTAGTTATTGAGATTTCTGGGTGAGTAGTAGCAATCATACCTGCTCCTGTCTTTGCCATTGTGTTGTGGACTTGCAAGGAAGCTAAAGTGATATGCTTTGGTCGACTAGAAGCAGTTTGTCCTTGGACCACGAGGAGGGGGAGCCACAGCACCCCACTCTTTAATGAAGGATATTAGCTTTCAATGATTGATCTTTAAAAATTGACATACATTGAGTGGATGATCTCCGGGGGAAAGCAGACACGAGAAAATCAATCATCACGTCGGCAGTTTTGAACCTGCTCATTTACAGCTTATTATCAGCAAGCTGAGGAGGGCTGCCTCTCCCTGACACATTCACCTAATGGTCCTGATGAAGCTTATCAAGGTCTTGTCATCGGGAAAACTGAGGCAATATGATGGACTGCTATCTGGAGGGAAATTAATTGGTACAAAGAGAGTAGAAAGCAGGTATAGCTCAGATCCCTGCGCTATCAGTGCTGACAGCGAGGAGATCTGAATGGACTCGTCAAACAGCTACTGCCTTTAGTGTTACAAGAGGTTAGTCCTCTGCCAGCAGATTGAGGGATCAGTGTTAAGCGCTTGGTCGTGGAGCTGCAGGATGATATTGGAGACAGAGGTGTCCACTTGATCCAAGACAAAGTAGAGCCACATGCTGACTGCCTGCCAGGTCTGATAGAGGAGAAGCCCTTTGAAATTCAAAATGGCTTACAAACCTCAAATTCAAATGCAACCTTTATTCGAAAGCTCAAATCAGATGTTACAGCCGTTTCATGGCAACAAGCAAATTTCACTTTGCTCACCTGAGACAATAGATGGCAGCTTGGCCGAGCCTGTCTTAGCACGGATGACAAGACGCAAAAATGGAAGGAAAGCAGTCTTCCACGGTCTTCGGGGAGGGAGGGGAGTTGAGTGAAAGCAAGAAAGCAGAAACCATACTGAAATGTATTTGAAACAAGCAGGATGGTTGGAGCTTAAAAGATAGGTTTCTTCCGAGGCTAGATAAGAACAGTCGTGTGAAAACAACAGAAGCGAGTGTCAGTGTAGAGTTGAGCTCAAAGTAAAGCACTTGCCCATGACTCAGCCTAATCAACTTAAAGTTTGATTCACTGTGACAGACACTTCTGTACAGAATTCATCTGTTTTTATGAAACAGTGATGCTGGAGTGTCATCCTCGGATTCTTGCCCAGCAGCTGTGATTCATTTGCTTGGTCTAGGATCATTAGAGAAGCACCGTCCATGAACTGCCACAAACAAGGAAACCTTGAGCATCCTCCAGCAGTGAATCTCCCCCGCTTCATTTTCTCCTTTGCCACTGCCTGAGGGCACGGTTGGCCTGGAGGGGGGGACTCCCCCTCGGGCTGCCTTCGTTGATTAACCAGTCCATGGAGGAGTACAGAAATTTGGCAACCTTGGTGGTGTCTCTGCAGTTAAACGAACCGGACAAAAAACAGCATTTACAAGTAACTGTAACTTATAAACATTTTAACAGACATATAAATGAAGAAATAAGGCGTCAGTTCACAGTGGCTGCTGGGCGTGGTGCCATGGCACAAAGATGAACACCCCGGAGCATCTTCGTTGACTGCATTAAATGATGGCTGCATTTGTGAACTCATACAATGTTTGATTGAGCTTTTACACCCATATAAATTTTATATTAGGGTGATAACTGTTGGGAAGCTAAAAATATGGTCACATCTCTCCCAAAAACTCGTGGGTGCTCTTAAGTCCTTCTAATTGGAGCCTAATATCGCAGTGACACTAGGGTTGGCAGGCAGTCTGATTTAAAGGTACAAGTGTTCTCATTTTAATATGGACATTAGGTGATGTTCTCTTTTAACAATGGTGTGGTACTCATGTTATATTAAGGTATACCTGCAGATAACAGGGTTGCATCTGTTCAATAACTCTATGTTGTCTCATAATAGGAAGTAAAAATTTGTCTTAAGGGACCAGATGTATACACACCCTTGTATTTCCTGTTAGAGGCTTATTAGATTGTCAGACAACCCTTCAGTGCAGTGTGAGTTTTATTATTTGGTGTATGGAGTCTTTATCAAGGCATGATTTTTAGCCATGGCTCTAGGGGTGGCACCTTCAGTCTGTGGCTCTACCACTTTTGTCTAGACTGAATTATCTCAGTAACTGTGGACGGATTGGCAAGAAGTTTTTTTTGTTGAGACCTCTGTGGTTCCCAGACAATGAAGCTTAAGGACTTTGATAATCCCCTGACTTTTCCTCTAGTGCCATCAGCAAGTTGACTTTTGAGGGTTTGAATGTAATGTCTTAACAACTGTTGGATGGACTACCATGAAATGTGTTATACAAATTCAGTTCCCCTCAGGATCAATCGTAATCTGTTCAGTCGCCTTTTAACTTTTCATCTTTGACCAAATTTTTTTATTTGCACAATTTATGACCAACTACATGCAGTACTAATTGTACTTCCATCAGCCTCAGCTGCACTAGCCAGAGATATACTTGCTTTTTAACCACACACTTGTGTAGACAAATGGCTGCAACATGAGCGTAACTGTTCACCTACTTGCCTATGTACTACATGTATTACTGGATGATTCCACTAGAGGGCACACCAAAAAACTTAGACCATATAAAACTTTGGATCTGCATGATGTAAACAGAAACAATGGCGACACTCGAGGAGGCTACTATTTCAGTAATTCTGAGATCACAGCAGAGAAAGATGGTGGCATCATCATATATAGTATGTAAGGTCCATAAATCAAGCACATTGTGACAGTGGCGAATATGTGTGTTAAACTGCCCCTGGTGTTTTAATGTGAGTATTGCATCTTGCATACACGTTGCATTGATATCTGACGTCATGCACAACCAATGCTCCCAAGTGGACACTGGGTGTTTCTCAAAGTCAAGGAAGGATCCTTAAATAGCTGAATTTTAGGGATGCTACATCATCAAATCCAGCCGAAAGACTATTCCAATTTTAAGGATTCTTCAAATTCTAATGAGGAGAGAGTCCTTCTTTAAAGAATTTTAGCACACCTGTTTTTTTTTTTAGTATAATCCAGAAATATATGTTCTGTAAAAGTCAGATGACATTGAATATATTGCCTAATTTTTTTTTCAAATTTGTTCAAAAACATCAGAGAGTGCAAAGTCTAAAATGATCACAGTACCCTGAAACCCCCTCAATCCGGTGAGGTTTAATGCCGCACACCCGGTGCCACTCGTTAGCCTGTTCCAGTGTGTTTGCCAAATGTTGGGAGGGACTCTTGCCTTGCCTCTCTAGGATCCTTCCTTGGAAAGACTCAACCTACCAAGCAAGGATCCTTGACTTTGAGAAACACCAAGTATACACGAACTAGCCATCATGTGCATGTGAACATGTAGTTAAAGCAAGTATATCTCAGTATATCTCTGGCCTAAGACAGTGAACAAGATAAACATTATACCTACGCTAGCATTGTCTTTGTTAACACTGCTTTGACCCAGTACATCCTCACAGAGCTGCTGGCATGGCTGTAGAGTATTCGTCTTGTTATAACATTACAATGATTTGTCAAATAAATGTGTATTTGGACAGTTTTTATTAAGGGTAGGAAAAAAATAGTATGACTAAATTAAAAAGAGAGCTTCATAATGGATTAATTAAACTGAATCTCTATTTACCTAATGTAGACCCGGTCTGGTTTGGTAAAAGTCATACCACCACCAGTCACAATGTCAGAATTTTACAGCTGAAACTAACTTTCCCCATCTTAAAATGAACCCTTGATGTTTCAGGTCCATGTCAGCCTACCGTGCTATTAATGTTGAACCCCTCCTCATACCTTACAGGGTATATGTGTTGTAAACAACTTCAAAGGCGTCCACAGTGCAGCAGCTAAACAGAAAACTGAAGACTACCGTGGTCTGCCTCTGATGACTTTCCCCCGTGTAGAGAGCCCTCTGGAGACCCTCAGCGCACAGGTAGCTAAAAACACTTAACCTGGATTCCCAGAAAACGTAATCTCTGTGATTCACATTATCTTTCCCAATTAATTGGCAGAGCTCCCTTAAGACTGTGCTTAAAACAAAAAATACCCCTCCAGAATTTAGTCCACTGTAATTTGGTTTTCACTGTAATTTGCTGTTCCTGTAATTATTTGTAATCTGATTCATTTTCCAGAGTTCCTATAAAGACAGGGTGTTACATGAGTCAACTAAAAACAGGGTTTACAGTCACATAATTAGTTAACCATGTACTCTCTCTTTCTTCTTCTCTCTTTTCTTCTTGCTTTCTTTCTACACAAAGCAATGACACATGTTTAGGAGGAGAGCATACAGGCATGACATTTTGCACTACACCCCTGTCCTCCTTCCCCAACGCACAGAAACACACTCAGAACCTCACACAGAGCACTCCTGACACTGACAATGATTTCCTCTTCATTCCCACACCTTTTCCCACTTTCCTTCCTGTTTCTCCTAATCCTTGTACATCTTTCTCCGTCCCTCCCTCCTCCCACGTCCATTTTCAGAACCACTCAGCATCGATGACGGAGGTCACATGACTAAGGGGGCAGCACCGGGTCACGTTTGCGTCTCCACAGCACTTCCAGACACAATGACGAGGACGCATGTCACGTGGTTCCGAATGCTTAACAAAAACACACAACTAATATATCTGTTTAATTCACCTGGGGGACAAAATGCGCCATGTTTCTAATGGTTCTCATTCAGTTGGGCTATGCTCAATTCAACCTGCCAAGGCACATCTATCGCATCACTGGCAAAAGTATCCCAAGGCAAACTTAAGCACAGATTGTTTTTCCAGATAGTTGAAACCATTGGAAACATGGGATGTTTTTTTCCCCCTCCAAGGTGCGCTGTTTGTAGTTAGAGGACGGTGTTTTGTACATTTTGTATGAGCGAGTGCTGTAGCCTATCCTGACGGTGTTAAACCTGCGCACTTCCTGTCAGCTGACTCACTCTGTTTGACATCACATCCTGTCAGGTGACTTGCCTCGTCGATCACCACATCTATTCCCTTCTCAGTCTGAAAAATCTGCTATGGAAAAAATATCGATGTTGTTGTTCTGTGATGTTTGTCATTTGTACAGAAAAAAAAGACAGAATCCTTCTTTTTATTATCGCTGTACATTTATTGACCTCGTCAGGTCATATTTTGTAAAGATTTTTTGTCAATCCTGTATGACTATTATGATCCATTTGGACCTGTTTGCCTGCTGTGTAAACCTGGATATGTTTTGGTATCAGTTTAGGTGTTTTGGGGAATGAACCCTCTCCCCTTTGGAGGAAACGACAAGGAAGAGTCAGTGACATCCTCCGAGTCAGAAAATGGGGTTTGGCACTTGTGGTGCCATGTTATCAGCCACAATGAAAATGAAATATAATTGGTTGGAATTCTCACTATGAGTGTGTTTCACCCCAATTTCCTGATTCACTGTGATGTTAATAGAATTTTTTTCTACAGAGAAGTCCTGTGGGGCTAGCCTGTGCCAGATCTACCTGAAGATTTCACTGGTGTGGCTGCACAGTTAAATTTAAAACTGAAATCCCAACGGAAGACATCCGTAGAAAATACATGGGAAAAAAAGAAAAAGACACAGAAGTGCTCTTTGGAGTGAAACTGAGTGACTTATTTAAGGCCTGGCTAGCCCCTCTAATGGAAACCAGGCTAATGACTCCTGCTTCACTTTTCCTCCTTGAGGCACCCCTCCCTGCCCTGACCCACCAGTGGATTGTGATGCAATGTTGTGACTCCATTTCCCATTGGAAGATAACGCCCAGCATGAAGAGAGAAGTCAAGATGTTTTATAGATATTCATGATTTCAATTATACTCATTATCATTGTGATTATAAACGTCTTTTACTTTCAGAACAAAAAAAAGCATTTCATTTGAAATGCTACATATATATTTTTTTTTCTTGGTTTGTCCACAAATTAAATAGTCAGTAGCAACAGTGTATAGTCTTGTGTTTTTCATTACATGCTCAAGTTGTGTTAACTTTGTGGCCAAAGACAAGAAGGATAATTGGTTAGTAAGGTAAAAACAATAGCCTCAATCTTTTGCTGAAACCAAAGAACTGAGGCAGAGAGCTGGACTCCATCTTGACTGTCAGTCTAACCACTTTACCTCCCGGGAAGAAGTGGGAAACATGTCTGCCCTTTTGTTTCTCGGAGTATTTAGAGGTTTGTTTACTTTCTTTTTTCATGCCCTGAGTTGTGCCTCGCAGGCAGCCCTACAGTGATTCTTGCACATGGGACAAGTTTGCCTAGAGGGTTTTCATCTGTTAAATTTAACCCCAACCACAACTTTTTTCTTAGCACAACCAAGCCTTTCTGGCACATAGCTCCCTTGGGCCTGGGTTTTCAACAAGGGGTTCGTGACCCCAAAGAGGTCCTTAGAGTTACTGCAGGGGGGCTGCCAATTAGGGCTGCCCCCTAATAGTCGACCAAGCGTTAGTCAATCAGAAAGGTCATTAGACAGCAAGATTTCATTGGTCGCTTATTTGCAGAACCCCCCACACACGTTAATTTCCAGGGCTGGTACCTGCGGTTATTCCACAGGCTAGTTAATAACATGTCGGGCAGGAAATCCAAAGTGTGGGATCATTTTGAGAAGGTGAAGGATGAACCCAAGGTGATATGTAAACTCATCTTCACTGGTCGACTACAAACATGACGTATCATCTGAAACATGTCAGTAGCTACATGCCCATTAGCCACTTAGCACAATCATTACTGCTTTGCCGACAGCGTCATTAACAGGCGGCTCGCTCAGTGTGTGACGTGCACTTGTAGATAAAATATAGGCCTATATTAATGGAGGTTCATTAGTACGGTTTGTATTTCTCTGTAATGTAGCACAGTGTTAACAATGTTACTGATACTATTCTTTCTCACACCTTCAACTCAAACCATTGTTTGCCCACCCAAAATATATCATTTAATAATTACATTAATATTGTAAACATGCAGGCGTCTAGTCGGCTAATGGCCCTAAATGACGACTATTGGTCGACTAGGAAAATTCTTAGTGGGGGCAGCCCTACTGCCAATTACAATAATTCACAATACATACCATTATTGGCAGGCTAACTATTACCCATGAGCCCTTGTGCAATTATGTGAGCCAGCTAATGCTAAACCACTATGTGGCACTTGTCCATAAAAGCGAGGAAAACTACTTATTTTTTTGAGATACAAGTGATCATTCTGCAACTCTTTGAGAAAGAGATTGTGACATACAGTGTACAGTGTAGCCTAGAAACCACCAGGTGAGGCTAACGCACCTAGCCATGCGACAGCTGCTGCTGACTTAGCAGCCACAGGCAAGCACAAATGAGAGAAGCCTTGTAGATATTCAGAGAATTATTTTAAGTGCAACTCAGTTCTACAAAATTTATGTTTTGGGAGTCCCTGCTCTGCCTCTGTTTCTTTCAGCTAAAGGGTCCTTTGTCTGAAAAAAAGTTGGAGACCCCTGCTCTAGGCAAAGATCTCCCAACAGTGCAACTCTTCTGCTGCATACAAACCCCTCCTTTTTTGCTGTTACAGGCCCTCACTTAAACAATAGCTCATTACAGCCGAAAGGCCTAACGTCTGTGGAAGTTTGTAGCCCAGCAGTGTAAAATTGTTCACGTCACAAACTGACAAAAGATTTACCTAAAACAACCTCAATTTATCAAACTAAGATTAACTCAAATGAGTAGTTAGTAATGAAAGCCATGCATGGATGTGTCAGGTGAGCTGTGGCGATATTTAAGGCACAAAACCAAAAGGCAGCAACGCAGGGTGGATGTCTGCTGTGGTAAGGCAGACAGTGAGTTAACACACAGGGCAGCTTTTATAGCCAGGAAAGCCCAGGTGAGCTTAATCAAGCCAACGACCCTCCCATGTCAGCCAACTGCCTGATGAGGTTGGCCAAGTCATCCTCCAAGACAGAGGGAGGGGTGCAGCATACTAAACAGGGTGATGGCACACACTATAAAAACACCATGCGTCAGTGTTTTCTCTTAGCTCTATTGTGCACACACACACAGAGTTGCACAAAGGGGAGCCCTGGTTTCGATTGAAGTGAATGGGAAACGAATATTTGGAAGACAGAAGTGTGATGTGACCTGACCTCTAAACATTTGGTGGTACACGTAGAGCAGGGGTGCTCAGTTTTGATGATTGAGTGCCAGTTTAGGGAACCAACATATGATTGAGGGAGTTGCAAGTTGTCAACCGAAATTGCTAACTTGAGCTAGATGCTTGTTAGGGGGACACAGCTTGATGCAGCCTCCTTGTGTATTAGCAGTAAACGAATGACTGTGTAAGTATTGAAATGGACTGCAAATGATTAAAATATGATGCATGCAGTCCATGTCATGTTTCTGAGCGCCAACATTGGCTGCAGTTTGAACAACAATGTAGAGGATACAGTGTGCAATACACAGTCTGGAGGGAGGTGCACCCTAGGAGGCTCAGTTAAGGGGAAAGAAATCTTGCTCTAAATGTTCTTCCAATATGTACTCAAGCATGCAATGAATTTATGATAATAGAAAGTTTCTGAGAGGACTAGTACACCTTCAGGGTTGTTCTCGGACAAAACCTGACATTTCTTTTGTGAACTAACAAATGCTAATGCGTGCAATTTATTAGAAGAATCCTGTTGCCCCAAACTGTTGTCTTTGAGAACAAGTAAGGAGAAAAATGTGATTTAGTTTTAGCAACCTTTGATTAGACAGACCCCAAAAAATCAATATCAATATGACCCTTTTCCCCCTCATGTTATAACAACCTGTGAGGCAGGCTTTTCCTCTGCACATCACACTCCTGTACAGCTACACATGCTTCCCAGACAAGTGATTGGAATGAGCATAGATATGCTAAAACCAGGATCTTATTTAGTTTTTCTGTTGATTCATCCTGTTACAACCGCAGCGACTTCAGTGATGTTTATGTCACCGCTAAGCAAGGCACACACACACAGAGACACAAAGGAAGCTGACGGCTCAGCCAGTGCACTTGCTCTTTTGCTCTGTCAGGTATTCATTTCAGCTGTGACAGCCTGCGCTTACCCTGCAGACACACTGGCTAAATAGATAGGGACTGTTTGTGTGTGTGTGTGTGTGTGTGTGTGTGTGTGTGTGTGTGTGGCAGTATTTGACCATGCCGTGTGTTTATAAAATGTCATCCTTGGCTGTTCTGAGTATGCCTTCCTGCCCAAATTGCTGTCCCCTAGCAATATGAGTGAAGAATAGTGCAACAACCAAATATCGTTTCAAGGCGGGGAGCAAAGCTCTGTGTGGGTTGGTTATGTATATAGCTGCAGGGTGTTTTTTAAACCATAATGGAATCCATTAAGATGGGAGGAAATGAGTAACTGCAGGTGAATCTCAACAGCCAACTCGACACAAAAAAATATCAATATTCCAGCAAATAAATCCTCAATGCACTGTTTGATTGATGTGTCCTGTACGTCAGCCGTTGTTCTGTACCTGCGGTTTCATTGACACATCAGGACCTGGAAACTTCCTATCAGTGAAAGCACATCCCTGAAGTCCTTGGGAAAAAATAAAAGATATAATAGTCTTTTGAAATCATCAAGAGTCTGGTCTTGATTTGATGCTTTTAGAAAACTGAGAGGAGTCACTTCATGTCTAACACTTTTCAAGGTTATGGAGGCGTGATAATTAAAAACTGAACTCAGATGTAACTATACACGAGGATGAAAGACTCTCAGTGTCCTACATTCTGTTTTTTTAATATGTACTGGACTGTATATTGACATGTAGGGTAGTCAGAAAAAATGTTTCAATTAAATTAAGTGCAAAGAAGAGAGGTAAGTTTTTAATAACAGAACACATCCAAACGCAAAACAGAAAAGATGCAAGAAAACAGGTCTCATCACAGAGGGACTGTTTCAGTGTGTTCAGTCGTGAATGATCATCAGATCCAAATAAGATGTCAGAGTTCGACTATAGTGGTCTATGTTCATGTTTACATTTACTATCCAACAATGGGCTTGTACCTAAAAAAACTGAGTGGTAGTTCTATGTTGGTTGTGTCCAGAGATTGCAAAAGCACCGGTATGATCTCAAGAGGCTGGGTAAAAAGGTCCTGTTTTTGGGTCCCTGACTGAAAAGGCTGAAGACTCTTGGACTTAATACCATTTAATGTATTACTTCCTCACATCCTGTGTTTATAACCCCGAAGCCATTATAAAGACGAAAAACATCCAGACCATAAGTCAAACTCTGACAAGTTAAACTATGACTTGTAGGTGCAGCTTTCTTTAAGAAACTAGAAGTGCATCGGTGAAGTGCAGGACAACATTATACAGTGATCCCTAAAATAAGATTTTGTCCTATGATTCACCACAAGATGCCAACCAGATGTTCTTAATGAATATAGAGGTGTCTTGCTGAAGCTTTATACCTTTTTTCTTTACTCGTAACAATGGTCCCATTGACCCTCGAAAACGGGCATGAGATAAACATGACCTAATCCACATCAAATGCATCGGCAAAGTCCAGAAACATTAGGTCATCGATGGTGAAATCAACCAATCATCAGCAGCTGCATTTCTTTTCTTTCCCCTTTAAAGATACAAGGTTTCAGCATGAAGCCATAAAGACTTAACTGGGTGGGTTCAACTCCAGGTCATGTACACCCTCAATGAGTCTCAACATAAGACTCAGGTGAATTAGCCCATTAAGCTTAAATACCAGTCCTCATATCTATGATCAAGCTTATCATCACGGCAAGCAAATCTGTACCCTTGAAGAGACAAGGCTTAGAGGGAAGAGATGAGACGGACAAGAGGATGGAGCAGAGAGGAGTAGGAATGGAAATAGAAGAAAAAAAATGAAGGGATCAGTGAGTGAAGAAAATGGGGGGAAAGGGAGGTAAAGAAGAGGAAGGTTTGCACAGCTCTTCAGTGACAGCAACAAGCTAGTGA